GCCCAGAACTGTGACCACCCCCACTTCCAAAAGCCCTGGGCAGTCCTTGCCCCATGCAATGAGGGAGGGGTTGTGGTAAAAACAAAAACCCTCCCCAAAAGAGATTTTGAATTTAGGGGTGAGTCCTAAATCCCAGGCAGTAGGCCCAGGGGGGTTTATGTAAGAAATGTAAACTGGGACCTTAAAAGTTTTGAAAAGTTTTCTTTTTTGGGAGAGGTGTGGGGAAGTTTGCCTTTAAAATGCAAAGGGATTTTGTAAATCCCTGCAGTGGGGATATTCTTGGGGCTCTAATGAGGGGAGCTGGCTCACTGGCTGGGGAAGGGCTAGCCTCCCTTTGTGCTCTCTGCAGATGGTGGCCTTGTAGGGGACTCTGGGCCCTGGCAGAGGAAGGGAGGGTCAGCACAATCCAAAGTAGAGGGCAGGTCTGGAGTGGGGTGAGAGCAGAGGCTACCCACAGGCAGATCCCATAGTTCTAGGGTGGGAGGTAGTGGTGGGGAAGACCACACAGGAAGCTTTGGGGAGAGCCGGGCAGTATCTCATTGGAGAGGGGTGCATGTGAGGGGGAGAGAGGATGGCTCTAGACTGGTGGCTGAGAAAGGTCAAAATCAAGAACACCAGGGCTGGGAGCAGCCTTTAAGTTCTTCTCCAGCTCACCCATTACACAGATGGGAAATGGAGGCCTACTGGGGTCTGTGGCTTGCTTGTCTGAAGGCATAAAGGAGCTGGTGGCAGAAGTGGATTAGAACTCATCATCTCCCAGTGAGTGCAGGGGGAATGTTTGGGCACCTACACTTTCCATAGGAAAGGCCTCTTTAGGCACCAGAAAGGGGAAGCTAAAGTTAGGGCTCTAGTTGGGGAAGAAGGAAGGAGGTCCTGAGGGAAGATTCTGGGTGGGAGATTATAGTGGGAGATGTGCCACTTTCCAGGCAGGAAGAGGGAGGGGTGACTTTGTCAACATCCCCAGCAGCCTGGGGCTGGGGACACAATCCCTGATGCGAGAGGAGGGGTTTGGCAGAGACACCAGAATGAGGGGCAGACAGCCGTATCCTGGTGTATGTGGAGGCAGGGGATTGGATTTGATGACCTTGGGTTCAATAAGCTCCAAATGTCACTATTATCGTCATTGTCACCATGGGCTTGGGTCCAGATTGCTTGGGTTCAAATCTCACTGCGCTATTTATTCTTGGTGGACCCTGAGAGACTGACTTGGTCTCCTACTCCACAGTTCTATATCCATCAAATGAGGATAAATAATAGTACTTATGAAGTATTGCCGTCAAGATTAAATGAGATAGGAGCACCTGGATGGCTCAGTTGGTTGAGCGTCTGACTCTTGATAAGTCATGAAGCTAGTCAATGGCAGAGGGGACCTGCCACCCACATCTGCCTGACCCCCCCAGGCTTCTAATTCTTGATGCAGAAGAGGGAAGTTGTGTGTGTGTGTGTGTAGGTGAGAGTGGCGTGAACTAGACAAATGATATGTTTCATCTCAGTGTTCACGGGTGTCACATCTAATGCTGTGGAGGACAGAACGTCTCTCCTGGGGCACACGCAGACACCTTCCCCATTCCCTGCCCAGCCCCGGTATGCCTAACGCTGCCCTGTGCAGCACATGTTTGGTGAATGAGTGAATGAGCAAGTGAGTGGCATTCTCCCTTCTCCTTTCCCTCCTCATGTTCTCTGGTTCCCTCCTGGCTCGCCTCCCCGGCCTCCAGGCCTGCTGCAAAACAAACTCCACTTGACTTCCTCAACAAGACTCCATTGCAGGGAGGCAAAGGCTGAGATGCCTTCAAGAAGCAGAGGCTTACAAAACAAGCCCCAGGCTGTCTCTGAGGGCAAGCGTCAGGAAGAAGAGAGCCCCAGCCTGGCCAGCACAGGGGGACTGTGGGAGTGGGGAACGTGGCTGGGGCAGGATTGAATTGTGTCCCTCCAAGTTCACAAGCCCTAACCCCCAGTGTGATTGTATCTGGAGATAGTATTTTTAGGAGTTCATTAAAGTTAATTGAGATTAGAAGGGTGGGGTCCTAATGCTAGAGACTTGGTGGCCTTATTAAGAAGAAGAGATTTCCTTCTCCAGGAGCACACACTGAAGAAAGGCCCATGTGCACAAACAACGAGAAGGTGGCCATCTACAAGCCAAGAAGAGAGCTCTCACCAGAACCCAAACATGCTGGCACCTCAAGCTCCGGAACTGTGACAAAGTTTAAGTGTCTGTTGTTTAGGTCACCCAGTATTGTGTTACGGCGGCCTGAGGAGACTAATATCAGGGGGACTGGGAGGGAGGTCCTGCTCTTTCCCACGTGGCCCTTCAAGTCATAGGAACCCAGGACCCAGGCCTAGATCAGGTAGGCTCCTGTCCCAGCCTGTCTCCTTAGGCTCTTATCCCTTTCCTGGCCTGAAGTCCAAGTTCTCACAGCTTCCTCTTTCAGTCACACTTCTCCCCAACCCAGGCCTCAGGTCCTGTCTCCTGCCCCCACAGCAGCATTTCTTTTTTTTAAGATTTTATTTATTTTTGACAGAGAGAGAGAGCACAAGCAGGGGGAACAGCAGAGAAAGAGGGAGAAGCAGACTTCCCGCTGAGCAAGGAACCCGATGCGGGGCTTGATCCCAGGACCCTGAGATCATGACCCGAGCCGAAGGCAGACGCTTAACCGTCTGAGCCACCCAGGCGCCCCCCACAGCCCTATTTCTAAAGCACAAATCTGGTCACTTACTCCTTGGCTGAAAAGCCTCTGACGTCTCCCCATTGCCTACAGAATGAAACCCAAGCAGGTTGCCATGTATAATTGTGCATTGCACAACCTGTGCAACTGTACACAAAGGGTCTTGAGCCCAACCTCATTCATTCATTCACTCACTCATCCATGCGTTTAACAAGTATTCATTCCCTAGACGTTCTCAGCTTAGAACCCAAGTTTCTTGATAATATGGCTCCTGACTCTCCTTTGCTTCCTCTCTCACTTACTTCCTTGGGTACCATATACTTTAGCCACACTGAACATGGTACCATCTCATACCTGTGTGCTTCATGCACAAATTCATCCATCAGCTTGTCTGAGAATGCAGAGGCAGAACGGGCCCAGATTTGGAATCCTATTTCTCTGCCATTTCCCAGCTAGGAAAATATGGGCAAGTTAACCCTCCGAGCCTCAGTAAAATGGGATTAAACATACATAGTGTGCCTTACATTGTACTTAGCACGTAAGAGCCTCCATGGTTTCTTTGCACGCTAAACTCCTTTTCATTCTTGAAGACCCAACTCGAATGTTACCTCCTTGGTAACATTGCCCTCATTCCCTCCAAATGGATAAAGTTTACATTCCCTGTTTCTACTTTTCCTGCCAGCCCCACATGGCACTCACACACCTTGGTTAGAACGCTGTTGCACTGATCTATTTTCCCAGCTCACATGAACAAAGCATCCAGCCAGAAAACCCTTGTTGCATGAAGCAAGGCACCAATCTCTGGGTTGGAAGCCCTTCACCTCCCACTCCTGTCCTGGTTCCAAGCCCTCCGCCTGTTGGATAGCTTGAGAGTTCAGGACAGGAGGTGGAGGATGAAAGAGCAGAGGTGAGCAGACAGAAGAGTGGAGGGGAGGTGGCGGCGTGAGGGTGCTTCAGCCTTCTGGGGAGGTCACTCTGTAGCCAGAAAAGAGGCAGGGTTTAGAGAGGGTGGCAGTCTGAGGCTTGAAAAATGATTGGCAGTGCAGGTGGCTGCCCCTCTCCCTTCCTATCGATCCGAACTGGGCTTTGCTGTGGGTCCAGCCACCCGGGGAAATTACAGGGGACAAGAGTGAGAGAAAGGAAGGTTTTTCTGTAAAGAGGGAGATGATGGGTTTGAGGCAGGAGGGTCAAGAAGAAATGGGTTGGCGAAGGACAGGAGAACCCGGGGAAGGAGGGTGAGGGAGGGGTGGGTGGGTGGTATATGTGTGTGTAGACAGCAGGATGGGGAGGGTAGAAAGTTGGGAGGGGTGACATTGGAAGATACTGGGGAGGGAGGCTTCAGACCAAGGGCTACAAGTCCTGGGACCTCCTGAACAGAAAACTCTTGGGGTATGAAGACCCCTCCCCTCCTGGCTCCTGGCTTGGTGGCTATCTTTCCTCCCCTCTGCTCACCATCCCTCCTATCCTTGCTGGGCTGGCTGCTCTGCCCATCGGCAAAAGTCTAAGTCAAGTTCTTTGTTAAATGTTCCTGGAGGAAAGATGAGCTGTGGTAAATGCACCAGAGATATTACCTTCCATGGACTCGGTCCAGGGCCAGGCTGAGGGGGGCTGGGGTGGGAGGTTGGAATTGAAGTTTGGTAGTGGGAGGGGAGGCAGGGCTTCTCAACAGTGATTCAAGGCCTTTGGGAGGGTCTCTTCACAGGCCCTCCAGGGCAGCTCCTGCCACTGGGTCACAGAACTCGGCCTGAACAGAAGAAGCAGCTCCCCTTCCTAAGGCCCCTTAGGAAAGTAGATTTCCTGAGGCCCCTCCTATACCACTTGGCAAGGCTTGGACTGCCAGCTGGCAGAAGCTAGTCGTAGAACCCCCAGGCCCAGGGTGGGATGAAGCCATTGTCTATTTCTTTAGGGCTGAGCTGGTAGCTCAGGGCTCATCTAGGTTCAGAGACTCTTCTCGACTCCACCCATGTTTCTGTTGCCTCTCCTTGCCCCTGAGGGAGCCCGAGTGAGACCTTGGGATCTGTCAGGGGGGCCACACAGACTCATCTTCAGCCCTGGGACAAGGGCGAGACCTCAATTCTCTGTCCTCCTGGCAGAATGGCAGGCAAGGAGTCACGAGCAAGAAAGCCGCATGTGTGGGCCATGTGGGGGACACAGAATGGCCGAAGAGATGGCTTATGAAGGGAAGCCAATGCAGACTGTGCTGCTGTGGCCAGGGGTGTAGGAGGGAGTGTTCTCTATGACATAGCCATCACCTGCCAACTCAGGGCCCCTCTCTGTTCCGGTCTCCACCTCTGAGCGGGCAGCCCCGAATGCCTTAGAACCAACTGTTATGCCAAGACAGACACTTTATTTTCCATGAGAACTACACAGGCTCCCATGGGTAAAAGGGGGGGGCTCTCTGCCAGTCTCCTGAATATGACCTTCAGAACTTGTCTAGTGTTCTCTACTCTCCAGGGATGGGGCAGTGCCTGAGCACAGGCTGGGCGGGCTGCTCTCAGCCGGTCCCGCCAGCCCAGGGCAGCCTCAGTCCGGTTTGGTTTCCTGGGTTGAAATCACAATCCGTCAGGCCCAGCTTTGGCCAAAGATAATGATAACGATGGGGTGGCAGGGCCCACAGCTGGGAGGGGGCAGGCATTTGCTCCTTGTAGAACAAAAGTGGGCTTCTTCTCTGAACCTCCTCTTCCACCCTCACGGTGTGGTTTTCTTAGGACCCCAGGCCTGTTAGACAAAGGATTCCAGCTTCTTGGGAGTCTTGACGGAGGTGGGGGTGGGGGAAAGACTGCCCAGCTTCTCCAAACCTCCTGAGTTGGCGGCCTGTCTGCATTCATGACTCTCTGCTGCCCCCGTGTGGCTGTAAGACCATAGATACCCTACTGCTGGGCCTGTCGGGGTGTCTATGTGTGTGTTTTGGGAAGCAGGGGGCACTCAGCAGGACGGGAGCTGAGGCAGAACCAGAGAAAGCTGGCCCTGGCATCTGCTCTGGAGAGCAGAGGGTCTCCCTGCCCCCACCTCCCTCCCGTGGGTTACATAAGTAACATTAGGGCAGTTGTGACACCAGCTGGAGGACACTTGCTTACCAAAAAATTGAGAGAAAAGATGGGGCTGATACTCATTTGCAGTGGTGGGAACTAGACATCAAGGATGTGAGGGCAGCTGGGTGGTCTCTGACCATGAGGACAAGATCCCCCTTGCTAAGCCGCCCTGACAACTGTGGCCACATTGGCCTAAAGAATCCAGGGCAGGCAGATCCTGCTTTGTCCTGGGAACAGCTGCCCAAGAAGCCATTACGGAAGTGGGGAAAGGAACAGATATGGAGGGAAATAGAGTCCGTCCATCCCTCCTTTGGTCGATCCTTGCATATCACCTCTCCCAGGTCAGCATTGGGGCCCATGGGTCCCAACCCAGCACCTTCTGTTTGCCACGACAGAGGGTCGCAGGTCTCTAACTCAGGCTTCTGCATTGGCAGTGTCCAAGTTGATGGAGTCAGGGGTCCTCAGATGTGGGCGTGCTTCAGAATCACAGGGAGCTTGTTGAGATGCCATCAAAGTCTGAGAAGCACAGCTGGTCCTGTCTATTGGCCTCTTTTTATGGTTGAGGAAACTGAGACCCAGTTGGGTCTGGATGAAGGTCACTGCTGACGGTCATTAGGTTTCCAGGGTTTCAACTTGGTACCGTTCTCCCCAGTCCAATAGATTGGCTCATTAGTGTGGCCACAAGCCCCTGCTCAGGGGTTCTAGCCCCCTTCGGATGTCCAGGAAGGTGCACGGGAAGCTCCCTCCCTCTACATCCTTTCTGTGTCCTGCAGCAGGGCACCCACCAGGCCGATGACCTGGGAGGCTGGCTGGACTGTGTCATACTCTGCAAACAGGTGGCACACATTCTCCTGTGACTCTGTCTGGCTCTTGGCCACAAACCCGAAGATCCTGGTGGGAGAACATAGCCTGGGTGAGGTGGTGGGGCCCAGAGAGGCTGGGAGGGGTGATCTCAGCTGGTACGGTGCTCTGCCCTGCCCCTTCCCCAGCTCTCTGAGGGTAGGATGGGCCTCCTCTGTCAGACTGGGAGACCCCCGAGTTCAAGATCTAGGTAACCCTCCTTTTGAATGGCGGCTCCATGAGGACAGGACCTGCATATTCCTCATCAGAGTGGAAGCTTCCTGAGGGCAAGGATGTGTCTTGACCATCAGACTGGGGCATCCCCATCGATTAAGGCTGCCTGAGGTTAGAGCCTGTGCCTCCTACATAAGACCGAGGGCTCCCAGGCTCATGTCTCCCCCTTCAGACTGGAGGCTCTCTGAGGACCCGGGCCTGTGCCACCCCCATCAAAACCATGGGTTCTCTTAAGGTCAGGACAGGGCCTCCTTCCTTTCCTGAGTTCTTCCTCTTGTTGGGTCCCAGGTTCTGGCCCAGGGAGACCTTTTACGGTGACTGACAGGACACAGGGAAGCCTTACCAGGAGGGCTTGCAGTACTTTTGCCACCTGTGGGAAAGGAAGAGGGACAGGAATGAGTATTGAGGCTTCTCTGCATTCCACAGGACTCTGGCTGAGCAGCTGGGGACAATGGCCAGCTGTGACCACACCCCACTGGGTCCCACCCTCCCCTCATCCTGTTGCTCCCAGCCCCTCGAGGTTCACAGGCTTTGTCTGTGACCCCAGTCCCAGAGTCAGCAAGAAACCTCAGTGGGCAGCTAGGCCCTGGATGGCTTTGTGAGTTTGGCCCAGACTTGAACTTACTTCCGTTGCTCGGGGTCCATGCCACAGAAGCGGAGGGTGGTGAGGGGGTAATGGCGCCGGAAAAACACCCTGGAAGAGAAGGACTGCTGGTGAGAGCCTGTCCCAGTGCCATGTCCTACCTCCATCATCTCTAGCTCTCCCAAAGTTCAGATGCCCTGCTCTCCAAGAAGCTTCCCAGTTAGACCCCTTACAGCCTGCTGTGACCTTTCCCACTGCTGGGCCTTGGGGCACATGTTTGCACTTCTCTCTTTTCTTTTCTTTCCCCTTTTTTTTTTTTTTTAGATTTTATTTATTCATTTGAAAGAGAGAGAGAGAGAAAGAGCGCTCGAGCGGAGGGGCAGAGGGAGAGGGAGAAGCAGACTCCCTGCAGAGCAGAGAGCCTGATGCGGGGCTCGATCCCAGGACCCCGGGATCATGACCTGAGCCGAAGGCAGACACGTCACCGACTGAGCCACCCAGGCGCCCCAGGCTTCTCTCTTTTCATGGAATGAATCTGCCTTGTGTCCTATATATTCAGGTTTTCTACCCTCTCTCCTCCGCCCCCTGCCCACTGTGTCATTTAACTGCTTGAGGAAAGGAATGATGTCTTGCTCATCTCTTGTTCCTCCAGCCCAGGGCCAGGATCCTGCCAGACTGTGAAGCCCTGAGCCCGGGGAAGGAGTGATTTCAGCCACTGTGTTGAAGTGGGCAGCCAAAGTCTGGCCTTCTGCAGTTGTTCCATCAGTGGATGAACCAGACTGAACCAGTGTCCTGGAAGGGGGACTTAGGGACGAGGTTCATCAGTAGATGAACCAGATTGAACCAGTGCCACTGAAAGGGGGACTTTGGGATGGGGTCATTGGCGTGAGGACCAGAGAAGGCAGAGAACTTGCCTGGAGTCACTCAGCAAGTCACTGACCACATTGGGTCCAGAATCCTGAATCCTACCTTCATCACTGATCCACGGCCATCTCAGCCATCCCCTCCAGATCCCCCTGCCCCGCCCAGCAGCCCCAAGGCAAGGGAAGCCCCTTACTTCCTCTGGACATCGGTCAGGGTGATGCCTTGCTCAGTGACTTTGAAGTGGACCACGGTGGGTGTGGGGAGGACGTCCCTCTCAAAGGTGGTTGAGATGGCCTTCCGCACGGCCAGGGCTCCACTCAGGGTCTCTACACTCACAGAGGTCAGATACAGGGCATGGCAGCCTGGGGGATGTAAATGCTGTGCTTAGGCCTTGCCAGGATCCACCATGCAGGGGCAGGTAGGGTCCCCCAGGCCCTGGTCCTCCTTCTGCCCAGAGCTGGCGTCGGGGCTCTTCCTTCTTCAGGAATCCAGTGGGGCTCCTCTGAGCCACCAGGCAGGCAGGCAGGACTGTGTAGGTGACTGCAATTCAAGGCCAACCCCAGAGGATGTTGGGAGCATCTGTGGCTTTGCATTGCTCTGGCCTTTGGCCCTCTAGGGTGGAGTAAAGCTGTTGCCCTATGTGTAGGGATGTCCAGGCAAACCTTCCTTCTGTCCAGAAGCATGGTTGGCACTGTCTCTACCTCCACCCACCCCAGGGCCCTGGTTCATAGACAAGAGAAGGTGGAGAAGACAAGAATGGGGGGAGGGCACTCGGACAAGTGCTGATCTGTGCCTGGCCTTTGGACCTGACACTCCACAGAGGATCCCAGACCCAGAGATCACTTCTAGGGCAGGTCCCTCAGAACCAGAGAGGCCCCAGCATGTCCACATGTGCCCATGAGTGTGCAGGATGGGGTGTAAGCCACACCAACCTCCCTCTCTCCTGCCACCCCCACGGGCTCCCCCCACCCAGGCTTGCAGCCTCTCACCTCCAGGTTTATAGGGATGGGGAGGACCGTGGGGCACCTTGTTAAGGACGAAGAAACAAAGCTGTAGTGGGAACATGTGTGGACCTGCATGTACAAGTGTGTGCGTGGGGTTGGGAGGGGCCCTATGGGGGCTCAGGCAAGCCTGGAGCCTCCCCCATGCCACTTACCTGCAGATTTCTTCAGGTGGGAGGCCCGGCTGTCTGTAGTGGGGTCTGAGGAGTCTCCAGCTCCCAATTCTGAGCCAAAGCAAAGTAACAGTCCCCAGAGGGGGTGGGGGTGGAGTGAACGGACTCTTCTCGTAGGAACATTAATCCCCTTGAACATCTCCCACCTCCGCCCCCACCTTCAGGAAGCAAGCCGTTGAGAAACCTGGTGTGATTACCATAATTAGACAAACGGGGCCACTTGGGGCTCCCCAGATGCCTGACTTGCAAGCCTTTTGGTCCCTCTTTCGCCTCCTCACTCCTCCAGCCCCTGGACTGCTGCAGTCACCTGGTCCTCAGAAGCCTCTCACCTCCTCCCTTCTTTCACACCCCATCCCAAACCCAGGCCTTTCTTTGCAGAATGTAGGGAGGCTTTCCCCATCACCACACCAGGGGCTCCCCCTGCCCTGACTCCACTCCCAGAACCCCTCTTCTGCTCCTCCTGCACACCCGGGGGATCATCTACTCCAGCTGCTGATGCGGCTGGGCTGTGGGCTCTGGATGGGACTTCCTGATCTCAGTTTGAGGTCTGATCTGTGTGCCTTTGGGCGAGCTACTTAGCTCCTCGAGCCCTCCTTTTCTCATCTGTTAAATGGGGATAACACCTATTTGACACAGCTGTGTTGAGGGATGTGTGAATGAGGGAGTGCCCAGTAAAGGTTGGACCCGGAAGAAAAAAACAACCCTCTCCAAACCGGCCGACTTATGTTCCTTTCATCCTCTCAAAGAAGGCTCCTATTTATCAAACACATACTCTGTGATGAGAGCCTTGCCTGGACCGGCTCATTTAACCCCCAACCAATCCTTTAAGTAAGTATGATGATGGCTGTCCCCATTTCATAGAGGAAGAAACAGAGGCTCAGAGGGGTCGACATTCTCAAATTCTCAAGCCAGGAAGTGAAGATGCTGATGGATGCTAGGTGAAGCACTTTTAACTGTGACACTAATCCATAAATAAGGTGGGATGTGACCACTAGGAGCCTTTTTAGTTCCCCGGGGTTGCCTCTTTGGGGCCCAGACCCACCTTTCTGTGGGATGGTGAGTTTGCAGGGCAGGGCCAGGGCCATGATGGAATGCTGGCACACAAAGGCAGAGAGGCTCCCTGCAAGGAAACAGGCAGCCCTGCGTGAGAAGGCTTTCCCCAGACCAGTCTCCCAGCCCAGAAGGGTGGGGCCCACCCAGGGGCCTGCAGGCTGGAGAGGCTCACCAAAGTAGGGCTCCTCGTCTGCTCCTTTGAGATGCACCCCTTTGGCGGAAGACTCGATGAGGAAGTGGCGGATGAGGTCACTGTTGTCCTCACCTGGACAAAGATAGAAGAAAGAGCGCATGTGGATGGGGGTTCCAGAGCCCAGTGTTAGCTGAACACTGACCAACTCGTTCCCTGACCCGCCTCCTCCCGGTCCATCCAGAGGTTAACTGGTTTGTTCCCCTGCCTAGGGGTGGGTGGGACTGCTAGGGGGAACCCTATCTTCAAGGCCTCCCACAAAGGAGGTGCCAATATGTTTGCTCAAAGGTTTCTGCGTCCAGTAATTCTCCTCTCAGGAGAACTTTCTCTTGGTCTCAAGAGCTACTGGGGATGGTCCCAGTGACTACTGAGATCAAATCTTAATCCTTCAGCCTGATTTCTCTCTTCTTCTACCCACTCCTTCCCAGGTGCTGTGATTCTTCACCAGATGGTCCCTGCTGGAGCTAGGCTGGCCCTGGAGGGTAAACAGTGCCCCTCTGCCTCTTCTCCACCCGCCCATGGTTTCCTCCTCTCTGTGCTCGTTGGCAAGGTGTTCTTGATAACCAATACTGCCCCAGAGGTCACTTTCTTATTTAACCAGAGCAGCATGGTGTAGAGAGCATGAAGTTGGGGTTTTCATCTTTGCTCTCAGGGGGTGGTGTCATTAACTAACTCTTGGAACCTATTTACCTGATCCTTTTGTTACATGAGAGCTATACTCCTGGGGTTTGGGGAGGGGCTGTAACTTAGGTACTTTGTACTATAATGATCTGTTTTTATCTATCTCCCTAGCGAGGTATCCCAGTGCAGGGTGCATGCCCCAGAGATGTGTGTTGTGTGTGTGAGACCACGGGAAAGCATGTGCTAAGCTATCACACGTGTGATAAACTAGCACATATGTGATAAGCTATCACGCACATGTAATAAGCCAGTGCATTCACTCAATAAGCTATCACACGTGATAAACTGTCACATACACGTGATAAGCTAGGGCACACACGTTATTACTACATTAGGTTCCTTCACAATAAAGCTGGTCTGGACAGCGAAGGTGGGGGGTGGGCAGAGGAGAGCATCCTGGAGAGGGGCTGGGAGCTTCCTCCTCTTCCCCCCATGAGAGCAGAGCAGGGAATCTGGGGACTCCCAGAGGCAAAGGAAGCTCAGGCTTGCCGTGGAAGGAGCTCCTTACAGAGTGTCTGGTGCAGGAAGGCAGCTGGGAGAGGGCTGACCCTCCTCCCAGGAGTACTTACGGGCCTGCTGCAAGGTAGCAGTGGAGAGCTGGGACTAGAACCTACCACAGCCTGTTGCCTCTGTGAGGCCTTGAATGAAGAGACAGATATGCATACCTGATCGGTTCGGGGCAGGTGCAGGGGCCTCCTGCACCTTCAAGGCAAGGCCAAAGGAGCCTCGGTAGGAAGAACTGCCCCTCACGACGAAAGCCCCTGGCTCCTCTTTCCTCAGCAGCTCGATTGCTGGAACAATCCTTGGGTCAGAGACAGTTACCTCCCCCCCACCTGGACACCCCTGTCCCCCAGCCCCATAGAATCTTCATAGAGCAGACATTACAGAATCACCTTGTGTTCCAAGGAAGTCCTTCCTATTGTCTAATCTCCACCCTTCCTGCTGCAGTCCCTATTTCCTCAGGACATGAGGTTTGCACGATATCCCCCTTCCCTGGACCTACCATTTGCCATTCCCTCCCCTACCATGACCCAGGGCCCCATCTGCCTGATGCAAGATGCAAGACCCAGACTTGACTCCTGGGTCACTCATCCCTTGAAACACAGCGCTTCCTTTTACCTTGTTCCCGGGTGATGTTTGGCTTAAACCAGTATTTAGATGTGTCCATCACAAACTTCATGGTGGGCTGCATGTCCCTGGTGGGACCTGGAAGACAGAGAGGGGGGACTCTTTAGGCTGGACCAAGGGGAGCTGAGAGACCCTTCCCCCACCTCTGCGCAGTGGTCCCATTCAACCCACCCTACCCTACCCCAACCCCACTGTATCTCCAACTGCCTACAAGAGGCAAAATCCAACAGAAGAATTCAGGGCTTGGCGCATCTAGGACCTAGGAGTCTCCCCTCGTATCCTTGGTAATAAATCACAAACAGATAAAATCTCAGTTTAATGAGAAACAGTTTCTCAAATCTTGTGTTGTCTGGTGTGGCCTGAAAGAAGGGATAAATAAGGGATTCTGAGATGCATCATGTGTTTGGTTTTACCCTCTCTTCCCCCTTAAGAATCCTACAAGTGTCTTGGGGGGCATATTCAGTTTGGAAAAGAAAATGAAAGAAAAGTTTGAGGAAAGGAAGGCAGCAGATCTGGGCAGATGAGCCTGTGCAGAAGTCAGGAGACAGGATTCCTGACTCTGATTTGGGACAACTGTCTTGCTCCTGAAGCCCAGAGGGGACTAAGTGTACTAAACCGTCTCTGAGGGTTTTTGACATTCCAATAGCCTAGGCAATTAGCAAGGATTTTGTTTGGAGAAAGTTTGCAGACTTTGATAAGACCCCAGGGTATAATGAGTGATATCCTGGGGCACCACCAAACCAGGATGGGAATATCGCTGGACTAAGTAAATGTGCTCATTGAGATGACAAAATGGCCACTTCCCTGGGTCCCTAAGGCAGAGAACAGTGGTTTTCCATTTTGGTATCTTGAAAAGGTGTGTGCTGTGGCCAGCTGAGAGTAACTCATCATAAAAAAAGGTACTAAAATCTGCAAATGATTTATTCCGGGAAAACGATCAGAGCAGATTCAAAGGCACACCTATATGCCATTTTTCTCTTGCTTACATTGACCTGGCTTCCTGAATGGCAGTGTGGGCCAGAGTGAACATCATAACCCCCAGGAGTCCCCCTGATGCTTGTGGCTGAGTGGGGGGTGGGGAGCAGGGACAGTGTCCCTGGGGCTCTGCAGGGGCTCTTCTCTGGAGAGGTGCACCCTATGGGTGCTAAGCCTGAGCCTCTGTGTTTACTGCTTTGGGTTCTGGCTGGTTTTGTTCTTTTTGGACGCCTATAGTCACAGACTACGGGAAGGAGGGTGTTTGCTGCTTTGTGGTTTTTAGCTGTCTGAATTGGAATGCATTGTCTCCGTCGGCTCTCTGTGTGTTCGTCATCCACGAACGTCAGAGGTAGGACTGACTCTCCTTCTTCTCCCTTTCTTGCATTAGTCATCAAGCCTGCTGTTTTCATATCCCGAGGGTCTCCTGGCTCTGTCCTCTCTCCTCCGCCCTGCCCCGCCCTGGTGCAGTCCCCCGTTACAGCTTGTCTGGACCACTTCATGATGAAAATCAAAACAAAACTGCTCTCCCTGCCTGGGCCGGGCCCTGCAGGTCATCTGCCATGCAGCTGCCAGAGTTATCTATTGAACATGTACCTCTGACCCCATCACTTTCCTGTTTGAGACTCCCTGCTAGCCCCCGATGCTGCGGCCTAATGGGTAAAATCCACTCTTTAGCTTGGTGTTCAAGACCTTTCCCAATCTTGCCCCAGATTACTCAACTACTTCATCCCACACCCAACACTCCAGTCATTTCTTAAACATGCATGTGCTTCTACACCTTCATGACCGTGGACTTGCTGTTCCCTCTGCTGGGAATGCCCCACCTCCCCTGCTCTGGCTCCAGACATCTGATTCAGTTTTCCAGATCCAGCTCAGATGTCACTTCCTCCAAGGAGCTTTCCCAGTTTTTTAGACTAAAAGGATCACGCCTTCCTTTGTGGCCCCATAAGACTTAGGACATCTCTTGCCTTCTGTGGTTTTTCTATTCTGTAGTGATCCTTGGTTTTTGTCTCTTTCTAAACTGTGTCCATCTCTCTGTCCCTACTCTTTGGCAAAGTGCTCGGCACACAGTAGGTGTTCAGCGCATTGACCTGCTATTGCAAAAACCCACTGATGCTTTGTCTTTCCCCCCAAGCTGAACCTCACAACGGCTGAAGGACTGGTTTACAACATACCCTCTGAGGATGTGGTGAGAGGGGTCTGGCTGTGGCTCCTGGTGGCTGGACAAGACTTGCTGGAAGAAGGGGCCCCAGGTCGGACAAAGTCCTGGTGTCCTGGGATCTGCTGGGATGGGGGAGACCCTGGTTCTGGGCAGCCATTGATCAGCACGATGGGTATGTCCACCATGGAGTTGGTGATGGATGGTGGGCAGCTGTTGGCGTGCTCCTTGGCCAGTGGTGGGGAGTGAGTTGCTCTGGGCTGGCCCATGTTTGGGGTGGGGTTGCTGGGGACCTGGAAGTCACTGGCTCTTGTACCCGGAGACACTTGGCCAAGGCTGTGGAGGCTGGAGGAAGAGCTCGCTGGACTCTCCAAGGATCTAGAAGATGACTGATGGCTGGAGACGCTGGAGTGGAGGAGGGACTGGCTGCTGCAGGGAGGGCACCAGACAGGCAGGGAGTTAGGCTGTTAGTGGACATGCAGGAGTCAGAACCAGGCTCCAGAATCTACTGATCTTGGTGCCCGTAGCTCTGGTTAAATAGAGTATTGCATACTCCATCCCCCACAGCCCAAAGCAAAGTGCATGCCCACCTGATCCCCAAGCGATGCTGAAGGATACAGAAATGTCTCTGCACTGCAGTCTTTGGTCATTTAAAGTAGCTAATGAGCTGATCCCCTGCAGGTCATGTGGGCTTAGGCTGGACTGGATCCCCTCTGCCTTCCCAGCCGGGCAGGTCTGACTGAGCTATCACACAAGTACCCAACATTCCCAAGAGCCCTGCACGCAGGCTGGACCATGTCCACGGTGGATGCAGAGGGAACTCCCCAGCTGGAGGAAGAGGGGGAGGCCAGCTCTGCATCCAGCCAGACTTCTCTCTGAGTTCAGAGGCCCATGCCAATGGCCATGGCCATGGAATCCCGGCCTCCTTGCCAAGGACTGCCTTGGCACATCGGCTCTGGAGTCGGTGTGGGGGACAGAGGTCCTGAGGTTTGGTCCTCTTGGACAGGATGGGTGTGTGCGTGCAGCTTTATTGTGAGGCCAGCAAACTGGGCTGGGGGGCAGGGGGACAGGCAGGTTCGCCTCCTTCCTGCTAGGTTTTGCTAGCAACAAAGAGGAAGGAGGCTTTTCTTTCCTAAATGGTTTATCCCAGGCCTCCAAATTTTATTTACATCCCTGTGTTTTAAAAAAAATCCCTTCCTTCAGATGGGTTGTATGAGTGCTAGAAAGGATACAGGTCAGCCTCATGAATGTAAACAGTTCTTTTCTCAAGAGGAAGGCATAAATCAAAATTTTTGTTATATTCTCAAAATTTTGAGTTATATTCTAAGTGCCTGAGGAAAGCTTGAGGTCCAAATGGCTGTGATGGCATAAAAGAGAATATTCACTCTTTTGTTTTTGGTGTACAACCTGATTTTGCTCCGATAGAACAGGGTGCCTGTCTATGATTTTTAGGGTGTGTGTGTGTGTGTGTGTTGCAGAGACAATATCAGAAGCTACAGTGGGAGTGACCTACCTTCCGAACACGTAGCTGACATCGGATGCTGGGCTGGCTGACAACACAGAGACCCTGCTGCCCTGCTGTGGGGCCAGGCCCCCCAGCCCCTTCTCCAAGCCTGGAGAAGCTGCCAGTGGGGAGCCCAAGCCATGGGGGCCCGAGGCCTTGTTCCCCATGCCGGGGATAGAGATGCTGGGAGAGGGTGGGGGATGAGAAGAGGGAGCCCCAGAGTGGGGAGGGGGGCGCTGGTGCCCCCTGCCCTGGCTCCCAGAGAAAATGAGGCTCTCGCTGCTGCTTCGAGTCTCTCGGGGGATGTCTCTGGAAAGGAGGAGGCCACCACTGCGTGGGGAACCAAAGGGCGGGGTGACAGATGGGCTGGAGCAGCACTGGGGGCCATCATGACACCTTGATCTGGTGGAGGTCACCTCGATGTACTTTATGTCTGGGGAGAGAGCAGAACACTGGTGAAACCGGGAACCTGGGCTTACAGAACAGGAATGCTGGAAGAGTCCTCAAGACCATCTGGTTTCCCCTCCTTTAGACAGATGAGGAAACCAAGGCTCAGAGAGAAGTTTGCTGGATTCGGATTAGCACCCGGCTCCCCCTTCTAGGCACAGCTCCAAAGTCACCCTCCTTGTGATTTCTTCCTTTGGTGGGGAGATGCCTTGGAATGAACACAGGCCTTGGAGTCCGAGAGACCTGGGTTTCAGATCTGGCTCTGCCACTTACTATCAGAGCACTTGGCCAAACGACTTCACCAACTCGAGCTTCAGGTTCCATACCTGTGAAATGGGGTGACTATACATCCAGTCTCTTGGTGCTAGAGTAAGGATGAAATGAGATGAACGTAGGCGGCATAACACTTCTCCTGGCACACGGTAAATACCTTAAAACTAGGAAATCCTCTCCTGCATGAATGTCCCCCTCCCCAGGTTGAAATGACTGCTTAAGGAGGGTGCCAGTCACATTTCTGATGCCTCCTTTGTCCAGGGCAGGTGAAGGCTGTTTCTACATCTGTGCCTACAATGAAGGCAGGGGTTCTCATGCTTGTTTGCACACTAGAATCATCCGATGAGGTTTTAAAAGTCCAAATGCCCAGGCTACACCCTGTGCCAAATAGATCAGAATCTCCGGTGTGGACCCAAACCTCAGGTTGTTTTAGTTTTCCAGCTGATTCCAATGGGCACCAAGCCACAGCACTGTGGCCCCTGGCCCAGCAGTGCCACGCCACCTGGGGGTGGGAGCTGGTCAGATGCGCAGAATCTCAGTTTCCATCCCAAGCCTGCTGAAGCAGAATCTACATTTTAGCAAGACTCCCTGGAATCTGAGTGCACTGTAGAGTTTGAGAACTCTGCTTTAGAGCAGGAGCTCCCAGAGGCCAGGGTTTGCTACATTATCAAGCTGTGGACCTCCCAGGACATGCTTTTAGCTGGTACGCCATTGTTGGTTATTAAACACGGCCGAGGGTGGTGACTCACTCCAGTGCTCTCTCTATTCCTCAGTGGGGGCACCCAGGACTCTTGTTTTGAGAACTTGCTCCTCCCTGGAGTGGGTACCTTGTGGTTTTCCCCACGGTGAGTATGGATACCCCTCCTCCTGACGTGGGGGAGGGGAACTGTCCTTGATGCTGTTCCAGCAAAGGTGGTGGAAGGTGGGGGCTACCTAGCTGCTCCCTCCTGGAGGCCTGTTGAATCCTGCCTCTGGCTTCCCAGGATGGAAACTGGGGCAAAGTCAGAGGGAAACTGCACCTTCAGCTCCTGTCTGCCAGCCTCCCACCACCTTGGGCTTTGGCACATGTACCAACTCCTGCCCACTCTGTGGAATCCCTGCCTGCCCCAGCCCGCTCCTGGGTAGGACCTCAGAGCCTGCTCGCGGTCACTGCCTCTGTCTGAACCTGCTTGGGCTGGGGTTGGGGTGGAGGATTACACCAGATGAAGGGGGGCTGGCAGGCTGACCTGAGCATGCTGTTCCAAGGGGTGTAGGAACAGGCCTGGCTTTGCCGTCAGATAAACCTGGGTGTGAGTCCTGGTTTTGCCACTTTCCTGCCAAGAGGCATCGGCTAACTTTCCTAACCACTGCGAGCCTCAGTTTCCTTATCTGCAAAGTGGGGATCTAAAACCAACCTCCTGAGGTTGTGGTAAGGATAAAAGACACTGATGAATGGTGCCTGGAGCCTAGCCCATGGTGAGCTTTGGAGAACTTCTCCTGCCTGCCTGCTTTTTGAGGCCAGTGTTGGCCAGATGGCTGACACTGTCCAGCTAAGGGGGGAGTCCCACTGCCGAGGGCAAGAGAAGACTATTTGGCACAACGTGTTGTGCGTTCTGAAAGAGTAGCGGTCTTGGAATGGGGTGCATTCTTCTGGAAGGTTGGCAAGCACCACTTCTATTTTTATAGGACTTTATCGTGTTTATACCCATAATCCTCTCAGCCCTTATGCCCAATGCCAGCAGGCACTGATTTTATGGAGAGGAAACTGAGGCTCAGAGAGATGTGGCAATGGAGCTGGCATTTACTGCAGAGTTTTTAATAAAGGCTGGTATTGACTGTGTGCCCACGCCGTTGCAAACATGTTACCTGTATTAACTCACGTAACCCTCACAACAACTCTACTGAAGTAGAAAACATTATGAATCCCAAATAAGAGATGAGAAATCAAGGCTCAGAAAGGTTAAGTGGGCTATCCAATGTTACACAGCCAGGGAGTGGAGGAATCCAACGCCTGCTCTTGTGCTCTGTTTGGAGGGCGTCTTCCAGGACGGGGGACTCCTCAGGACACTTTCCCAAGGCCTTGCCCTGTGAAAAGGTGCTTGGCTGCTTTGGGAGAGGGTCTCTCCACCTGGTGAAGCTCTGGGTTTCCTAATCACTGGGTCATCCAAACACTGACCAAAGAAAGGCCTTGCTCGGGGGACTGAGCAAGCAGAGGCAGGATGGGAAGGAAGCAAGGAGTCCTGGAGCTGTGAGTCACCTCTCGCTGCTGCCCTGAGGTGCATGCGCCTAGGGGAGGTGGAGGCCCCCCACACCCTCACCTGGGTGCAGCCACTGTTTACAGGCTCGTGGGGCAAGTCTGAGCAGTGCTGGGTGGATACAGGCGCCAGCACCAGGCTGGGCTGGTGGAAGGGGGCACGTGGGCGGGGGGGGGGGCAGAGAGACAGTTATTAAGCACCCTTCTCTTGGGATTGGCAAACAGCCTTGCCTGGCAGAAATTGCTGGAAAATGAAATGTGGGTGCCTGTTCCAAAGATGGGGAGGGGAGGAGTGGCAGAGATGGATATGGTGTTTGCTTGGAATAACCATGCTCCCTGTGGGATGGGAGCCCCCCAGGGTAAGCAAGAGGCAGGGGCAGGGAAGCTGGGGGAGGTTTGTGAGCGCTGCAGGAGGAGAGCCCCAGAAGAGGAGCCTGCAGGCTGCCTCCATACAGATTTGTTCTTCGAAGCTCTGGAGGGCAGGAAACTAGCTCCAAAGAAGAGAGAGAAAGGCAAGAACACAGACTTTGGAGGCCAGAAGCCCAGGCTTTGAGGCCTGACCTACAACCCACTGGCTGTGTGACCCTGGGTCATTACTTCTTCTCCCTGAGCCTCACTTTCTCATCTGTAAAATGAGGCTACCACTGTTTCCTTCACAGGGTAGATGCTGAGATCACGCACTACAAAATCTATCTATATTTATTTAGGGGAGGGAGAAACATAGGATCACTGATGCTTAATTTTTAATTTTACCAAGTGAGGACAAAGAGAAAACAGTGAACATCTGCTAGCACCACAATTATAGAACATCTTCCCTTTGACACCCCAAGAGAAGGAAGGATGAGAGGCAAAGGGAGGGCATCCCACACATTTGGATACATTTGGCCCAGTGAAAACTCACCACGGTGCCCAGAACTAGTTAGGTTTCCACAGGCTGGCAAGGGCTTTGTTGCCGGTAGTGGTGGTCTGAGGGGAGGGTTTTGGCAGGTTGAGATGCACGGGACAGGTGCCACCCATCACAGTGACACACTGTTAGCGATCACAACGATCGCAGGGAAGAACTTTCTAACAGGGAGCTGACTATGCCGGCTGTCTCAGGAGGTAGTGAATTCCCAGGCATCACTGACATTCAGGCAGAGGTTAGAGAAGAGGATTTTCTTATTCCATCAGAAGATGCTAGGGCAGAACTAGGGGGCTTCATCAGAACTCTCTGACCACTGTTGGCTGCCCGCTCATCCCCCGAACCCCTCTGCTACCCAGGGTCAGGTGGACACATCCCCATGATGGCAGGTTGTGTCCAGGGCATCTGAGAACACAGACTACTGACCACTGGCCCCTTGGAGGAAGGGGATGTTGTCAACATCCCTACCCCATACATGTGGACGCTCCACAGAGGCTGGTCTTGCCCCAGCGGGCCTTGAGTGTGTGGAACCCCTGCCTTGGGGCATGAACATTAAAGCCCTGGGCTTGCTCCTGCCAATGGTAATTAGACCCAAGCCACCTTCCCTGCAGAGACACGCCTGTGACCAGCCTCAAGAAGCAGGAAGATCTTGGCGGATAGAGGTGGTTCTTTTAACAGCCCTGGAAGGCAATGCTCAATGGGAGGGGCAGAAGGCAGGCTGGAGACTGGGAACTGGGGCGCCGAAGGACCTGGGTGCTGGGCTCACCTCCACCCCAGACCCTGAGCCTATCCTGGGGCGGGTCCTAAATGCAACCCTAGTGTTTAATTAAACCAGCTGCCATTTATAATGACTAACAGCATGTCAGGATTTCTGATAAACACCCAAGTGTTATTTCTTTTAAACCCTGCAACCCCCTTTGAGGTAAGAACTCCTCTCTATATTACAGATGAAGAATATGAGACAAAGGAGTGAAGTCACTAGCTTGTGGAAGGTTTGCCCACCTCCAGTGATTAGGCTAGACTGGCTCCTTACTGGAGTCCCTCAGCCTCCGTTTTTTTCATCTGTAAAATGGTGATAAAATATTTCATGGGGATAGATTGGGAGGATTAAATGTTCTCCTGTAAGATGTTCAGCACAGAGCCTGGATATAATAAGTGCTCAATAAGTAGAAATTCTCATGGACACTATCTCTAATCCTAATTGTATCCCTTAACCCATGCTGACCCTTTAAACCCCTGGAGACCTCAGTCTTCCAGCCTGTCTGATGGGGTCTTGCTCCTTGACCCTCATCCTCAGAGTACACTTGAAACCCTTTGTTCAGGAAACTGACACCAGATGTAGCGATTTCTAGATTCCCTTGGATGTAGTGGTATATTGAAGTTGGCTTGTACCAGCTCGTAAGAGCTGATTGTTAAATTTTTAGGATTTTGTCCAGCTGATTTCTAAACTCAGACATTATTAAAAATTAAATTACATAAACCTACAATGAAATAACTTACAATAAAAACAAAAGTAATAAATACAATTCATCATATCCCAATTATTTAATTAGATTTTGCTATTATCTAGATTCTTTTTTTTTTTTTTAAGTTTTATTTATTTAGGGGCGCCTGGCTGGCTCAGTTGGTTGAGCATCCAAGTCCTGGTTTCCTCTCAGGTCATGATCTCAGGGTCGTGAGATTGAGCCACTGCTCAGCATGGAGTCGCTTGAGATTCTCTCCCTCTGTCCCTCCCCCTGCTTGTACGCTCGCATGTGCACACCCTCTCTCAAATAAATAAATAAAATTTTAAAAAAGTTTTATTTATTTATTATTTTTAAGATTTTATTTATTTATTTGACAGAGAGAGACACAGCGAGAGAGGGAACACAAGCAGGGGGAGTGGGAGAGGGAGAGGCAGGCTCCCCTTCAAGCAGGGAGCCCGACGCGGCACTCGATCCCAGGACCCTGGGATCACGACCTGAGCCGAAGGCAGACGCTTAAAGACTGAGCCACCCAGGCGCCCCGAGTTTCATTTATTTAAATAATCTCTGCACCCAGCATGGGGCTCGAACTCATGGTCCTGAGGTCATGAGTCGCATTCTCTTCCAACTGAGCCAGCCAGGTGCCCCACTATTATCTATACTCTTGAAGTTATTTATATCTATTGTATTGGTATGGTAGAAATACTATATATACCGTAATGGCCATCTACAGGTTATCTCTTTCCAGTACTACATTCAGTGACATCATTTTGGTAGCTTGAGATTGGCCATGCTGGGAGAATCTATACCGTGAAATTGGCAGATGTTTGCAAACAGGGCTCTCTGCCACCCCATCATGGAGCTTACCAGCACATTGCTGCTTACACACAGCAGGGTCCCGCCCCAAATAGACTGAATTCTGTGTCTTTCCAACCCCGGTACTTCCAGCTTGGGCCTCCCCAGAGAGATACTCCCCTAAATAGGGACAGGGGCCCAGATAGCAATCCTATAAAAGTTTCAGGGGACCCAGGTTAGGACCTAAAGAGATATACTATAGAACAGTGAGGTTCAGGGACTCCACATTTCTCGGGCTCTTAGTTACATGCATGGCATTGTATGAAATTCTTATATATATATATAATATATATATACATATATATATATAAGCTTATTTAAAGTCTCTGAAAAATCACATAAAACAGGTATCCATCACTTTTCCAAACTCAGGAACAAAATAGAATTGGATAGTGAGGGAAACTTGTATATATCTCTTTGATATAGGAAAGAAAACAGAGAGATTAAGTAACTTGTTTAGGGCTGCACAGCACCTCCCAACAGGACATTTTCTCCTGCTCCTCTGATTTGATAGAAAAGTTCTTCTTCCTCATGAGGTCTGGTCCCCAAGCACCCCCCTTGGCACCGTGCCCCAGGTCCTTACCCAAGGCTTCAGGCTCATCTTTCTTTTTCCTTGAGGTGGTGCTCTGGGTGGGCTCAGCCCAGGGGCTACCAGTTCCTGCGGGGAGCAGCTGGAAGGTGGGATCTAGTTCCAGAATCATCTGGTTGAGGCTCTCCAGTGAGAAGTCAATGTAGGAGTCGAGCTCCTCCAGGGTCCCTGAGGTCTGCTCCCCAGGGGACTGCAGGAGGCAGCTGGCTTTGGCTCTAGCCTGTGGACCCTGCTGGAGCCTGCTGGGGGGCCCCTTGAAGGGTGTGGGGGCCATCAGGGCCTGGGCTCCCCAACCTTCTGTGGTATAGTAGGGACACTGCAGTGGCAGGCCGGGGCTGGGTGCTGGGTGCAGGGCCCTCCTGGGTTCTTCGCAGGGAGACAAGCCGACTGCATGGCCTCCTGCCAGCAGGGGGCTGGACATCACTTGCGACATGGTGGGGGCAGTGACCGTCTGTTTACCTCTAGCTTCAAACCAGCCTCACTTACACCCCAGAGATGTCACTTGCCAACCAGGAGCTCCCAGGACCTGAAAGAGACCAGGGTTGGGAACTGAGCAACTTTGGTAGTTGAAGCCCCTCCCACTCCTCCCCCCAACCCGCCCCCCGCAAGGAAAGGCATATTTATTCATTCATTAAAAGCATGGATACTGGAGCCAGACTGCCTGGGTTTGCATCCTGGCTCTACCACTTTCTAGCTGTACAATGTTGGACAAGTTAATGAACTTCTCTGTGTCTCAGTTTTCCTTAACTATAAAATGTGTGAAGAGTTGTAACATGCTTAGAACGGTGCATGGCACATAATAAGCATTATGCAAGTGATTGTCAAATAAAATTGCTTCAATAGAGGTCATTGAATATCTGCTATATCACAGCCTTCTTTATTAAATAAATACCAGCTAATATTTATTGAATAATTACTATGCACATATATTACACATAAAGTCTTTTAAACTCCTCCTAACAACCCTATGAGGTAGATACTATTATTTTGCATTTTATGATGTGTGAATGGAGAGACAGAGAGGCCAGTAACTTGCCCAAGTGTCATACTGTGTCATCCAAGTGTCAGAGCAGGACTCGACCTCAGGCTGCCTGATGTCAGCTGCTACTGCGTGTGGGCCAGTTAGTGAAACAGACAAGTAAGCAGGTGAGCAATTAAAAACAGTGTTACCAAGGGAGGCAAAACAGAGGAGACTCTGTAGGCACTGGTGCAGAGGTCAGGGAGGACTTCCTAGAGGAAGGGACTTGGATTCCTAACTGCCTATACCACGTGGAGTTCCAATGCAGAGGGATATCTGAGGTCCAGAGAGGGCGTACGATTTGCCTGAGGTTGCACAGTAAGTTAATGAGAAAAGCCAGGCTCCCTTGTTCCCCATGGCTCCTGTAGGCTCTGTTGCCAGACCTCTCCTTGGCTGGGGCCTGGAGGGGTCGGTGTGTCCCGGGCACGGGAAGCGTGTCTTTAAATGGCAGTGGAAGGGACTAGGCCCCCGAGCAATTTCCTGGGGGCAGCTGAGGACACAGAGCTGTGGCTCTTTCCTCACATGCTCCACGTGGCCCGGGTTTCTTGGGGCAGGATCTCAGTGCATCCTGCAGGGTTTTTGGCTGGGCGCCACAGAGGAGGCTGGGGTTACTGACCTTGCAGAGCACACTGGGGGCCTGGGTCATCACTCAGACTAGAACCTAGGATGCCTGCTTACTGATTGGAAACTGCTATTGTGCTACCGTTTCCTCTGTGGGCCTCAGTTGTCCCATCTGTATGATGGGGATATAATAATAACAGAACTTAAAGTTTACTCATTTCATTTTCTCAGTGGTTCTGTGAGGAGGGTACTCTTACTGTGGGGCTGGAGAGGTTCAGTGATTTGCCTAAGGTCACAGAACCTGCAGAATCCACAGGTGGAATGGGGATTTGAACCCAGCGGCTTTGAACCTGGGTGGTCTTGGCTCCACACTCCCAAACTCTTTTTTTTTTTTTT